TATACAAAATTGTTTTCAATCGGTCATTTCTTCAAACGAACGAAATCTGTTGGTCAATACTTAATTACCAAATTAGTTTGCATGAAAAAATAAATTAGACTTGACAGTAACTTAAATATTCACTAACCTTATGGCTAAGGTATTCTCCTGCAAAGCAGAAGATAAAAATTTCCATCATTATGTCGAAGTAAGCAATTATGGCTCTCACTAGGATGACACCAGCGGCGTTATGAATAGACTATTTCGTTAAATGATTAACAAAACGTAATGAAATATAATATCAATCGCCAGACATTTCTACGGGCATTGCGATACTCACTATTACAATGAGCAGGCCTAGAAAGCAGATGACTAAAGTATTCCAAAAAATTTGCATTAAGGTCATGAAGGATAAAATTTTATCAAGATTCTCGGAAAATGCGATGACTTTATTATGTCTTTCGATCAGCATTGCTACTGTTTGTCCAGGAGATACATAATAAGATATTTTCTCGGAAATGGATTTGAACCCTTCACATATGATATCGATTTGTCCGCTTACATGAAGTATCTAAAATATATTTAAGAATTTGCGAAAATTTCAAGAATTACATTTAATGAAAAAATAGCATTTTAAAAAAGATTTTGAAAATGGTAAAAAGAAGAAAGCCGGATATGATATTCTTCATATGATGACTGATAATGATTGGATATTATAAAAATTGAATATTATAAAAATCTGCCAACCGATATTTAATCATTATCTTATGTCAAATTTTGAACAGCCTCAGAGAGTTCTGCAAAACCGAGTTTTTCCAAATAGGTTAAGTCACAAGTAAACTTACGTTAGATTTTGTCGCGATAATAATTTTGGATTGCCAGTCGATTCATTACGAACTTTTGCAAGACATACCACTGTAGAAATAAACGCTTTCAGAAAAGCAACCGTGTATGCCACGGACATCCCGCGCAGAAACAAAATGACGGCGAGAATCTCGTAGAGTGAATCTCGCGGTGATTGTTCAGCTTCAAAGGGAGCAATGCATTCACGGGGAAAGGTCGTGAAGTATTATTGTCGTTTTCCTCCAGATGCATGATAGCTATCGCGTTATTACTCCCGAAGTAGAGCACTTCGCCGATCGTGTTCAGACTCAACCAAACGTTCACGCAAAAATGCGAGAGCCTAGCTTTCGTCTTCATTACGTGCAAATGCTGATCGATGTTCGCACACTCGTGCCAATCGGTGTCCATGATAGCTAGTAGTTCGTGAACAACGTTGCAGTGTGTCGCTTTAATCGGATAAAAATACTTTGTGGTGTTATTAACTCTAGGCGAAATTATATACCACATCGTCGACTAGTATTCAGACGGTGTAATTATTAAGTCACGTTCGCGATGTAATTATTAAGTTACGTTCCGGTTTAACCTTTTAACTGCCGGGGTTTTGGTGTATTTTTTTTATTTAGAAAGTTGATAAAATGTGTTCATATATCTTAGGTTTGACCCCAACAAAGTTCCGATCATAGGTAGCGTCTTATATAAGACTTTCCGGCAGTGAACGGAAGGGACAAATTTTGAATTTTAAAATTTGCAATAAAAGCGTATATAAGGGTTTTAGAGGATGGGGAACGATGGTGATAATATTTTTTCATTTCATCCCCTAAAATTACCCTTTTTGTAAAAAAAACTACCCTTTCCCGGAGAAATAATATTTAAAAACTTGTCTCGAAGATAATCGATTATTGGTTTTACTTTTTTCAAAGGATGATTTTCCATGTCTTCATTATTCACAAAATGCAAAAAACGTAAAATTTGCAAATATCTATTGCGGGACATCATGTTATTGAAAACGGGAGTTGATAAAAAAGGATCTGTACTCCAATAATTCTGTAAGCTACCTTTGCGAACATGGCCCATATTTATTGATAGTGCAAGAAAAACTCGCAACTCATTGACTGTCACTGGCGTCCAAGGCTTCATATTTATTCGTGCTTGTTCAGGATTTTGTGTTTGATACAAATTTGTCTGGGTCACTATCATTTTGAAGAGAGGTTCATCGAAAAAGATTTCAAAATAATCAAGAGGTGCGTCACCAGGAATGGTGACAGATTCACGTATCTGAAATGATCCAGTAAAATCTTTTATTGAAGGATAAAAAAATTTATCATAAGCGATTTCAGGATAGTCAAAATCTATATGACAATCTTCCTCTATAGCTTCTGGTACAATACTTATGTCTCGCTCATGATCAGAATCATCTGGCTCGGATTCACCACTTGACCAAACTATGTTTTCGTTATCCATATTTGTAGTAAAAGAGATAAATAAATAGAAAATATAAATTTAAAAAAAATATCGTTAATTTATCAACTAACAAGTTTTCTCACCTTCTCTCAGTACTTTTAGACTCACTACTGTATTTTTATTAATATTGTTCAATGTGAATTTGTATAATCAAAAGGATATCTATATTTATAACTGCAAAACTGCAAAAAAAGTTATCTAAAATTTAAATTATTTCTCTTTTATAGTTTGCTAATATACTCGAACGAATTTTTTCAATAACCAAATTTCAATATGGACTAAAAGTAATAAGATGGATTACTTTCGATCGTTATAAAGGGGTAGTTTTTTTATCTGATAAAGGTGTTGGAAAAAGTTCACGACACTAAAAAATATTTTATTTTTTCAAATTAGCAACTTCGAAAACTGGGAATTACCAAATTTCAATATGGACTAAAAGTAATAAGATGGATTACTTACGATCGTTATAAAGGGGTAGTTTTTTTATCTGATAAAGGGGGAAAGGGAGGGGGGTCCCATAACACACAAAGGTGTTTTTTTTTTATAGCAACCCGAAAACAGGTGAATAACAAATTTCAGTACGATTATAAAGTAAAAACACGGATCTCATTAGACCGTCTTATATAAGATTTTTCAGCAGTCAAAAGGTTAATAAAGATCTACGGACGAAAGGTAGGAAACGGAGGAAAAAAATATGGTTGAATCAACCTGAAGATGAACGAATCAAACGCGTTTTTATTGGAGATAAAACAATTTCTGGTTCTTATAAAACATGAAAGGTTCTTATTCTGGTTTCTACTAAATTCGGTTCGTACAAGTAGAAATTCTATTTCCTTTAACCGAAATGCGTTTGGTTCATTCTTTAGCTCGGCTTCACAAGTCGATGATCGATTCGATATCGATGGTTGATTTTTCAGATCATTCGCTTTGATAACTACTAGAGTTTTCAAAGATGCAAAGGAGAATCGGCGCTATATTGGCGACAGATCGGCATGATGTTTCGTTAATAACATGCCATTGTAAAGTATCGATATCTAGTTATCTGTGTAACGTGTAGAAGATATTATATAAGTATCGATCAGTTATTGACGATTTAATCGGTATCTAGTCGGTATCCAAGTCGAATCATTATATCCATACATCAACTTGACGTGGATGTGATATAAATTAAATAACGACTGATTAACTGAAGATCGTCAACATTTATATAATATCTTCCAGATTTATATATCTTCTAGTTGAAGTCTATAAAACCGAACATTGATTTCTACATGATTTCGACTAGACGTCGACATAACTTTAATTGGATTTTTTATCGACATGTGAAACAGGGTACCCCGCTAACTAAACTTTTTTTTCGTGTATTAATTGAGCGTTAGTCTCATATCCCGGATTCGCGGAAGCAAATTGGAACTACTGAAAATCACGTTGTCCAACACAATGCCTTACAGACTATTCCTCCAAAGAGAGATCAGCTTCATTATTGTCAAACTATAATATAAAGCTGTCGGCATGCTGTCCATAAGGTTATCCATTTCATCGAACTTGCAATGCGCAGAAACATAGAGATATTGAAAGTATTGCATGATGAATATGCTCGATATAGCAGCCGGCGAATAACGACATGTGGCATTCCCGGCCACACGCCCAGAAATAGAAGGCCACTTTTCAGCGACGGACTGATAGTGCTCGTGATAATCATCTGTTAACGATCCCGAGGAAATGCGAGGACACCAAAGTCACAGCACGCACGGTACTCTCATGCACGATAAACTGCGAGAACATCGTCCAATCCCTCGAGCGCATCGCCTTGCGTCCACTCTTCGGTGACCAGGGATCGATTGTTATTATACGTTGCCTAATATCATAATAAGTAGAGAGACAACTCATTATCCGCTTTTCCAATTCCGCCAGCGCTTTGAATAATACCTTTCGACCGAAAATTAATGAAAGAAAACGTTACACATACGTCTTTTCGAGCGAGCTTCGGTTTTATTTTCTGCTTATTTTGCGAATTTCTCTCCATGGCAACGCGATGCTACCGATGAAAAGTGAGTGATTTCCGTATTTTTTGCGTGTATAAAAGACCATTTAACGTACAACGACTTGGTTGAACGATCGTAATATAGCATTAGTTATTCTAACGGAACTGGATTACATAGATGGTAACGAGTTTTAAAAGAAATAAATAGAGGACAGCTCCCCCCTTTTTCAAAATAAATTCCGACCTTCGAAGGAATTTATTCTCTTCTCTCTAAACAGTCTGATAGATTTTTATAGGTCATCTGTTTCATATTAACAAAGTCTGAATGGCTATTTGTGTTTTTAAATTCTAAATTTGATATATCTGTCGTCGCGTGTGATTGCAGTGGTGTCTCACCTTTAAATTGATCGTACGTTATTTCTGATGACAAGTTTCCCTTTCCAGGTTGTTCCGTGGTGATTATTAGAGGTGCAGCAGCTTATTGGTGCAACTGTTGCGACAATTCTTCGTCGGTGTTCTTTTCTCCTGGTGTCTTTGGTCGTCTGGGAGGCTTATGTGCAAGGTGCAGCAATAGGTGGGTGAGTGAACTCTACATAGCGCCATGAAGGTGCAAACTGCATCCGTACACAGTGTGAAGAGCGTATCCGTGGTTGGCGGTGTCTACTAACAGCTTGACGATGCGAATGATGATGAATATTCCGAGAACTCCTGCGGTTGCTGAGCCGAAGGTGACGAATCCTGACCATACTTTCCTGGCGGTGTTTTCAGCAATTTTGTTGAGAGATTTTTCATTCAATAGGTCGTACATGGAGGCGATGTTCCCTCCTGTCTTATATCCAGTGATTCCTCTGGCCAATGAGTTTAATAAGGCGAGCTTTTCAGCGGGGAATATGATATGATCTCGCAGCTTCTCGATGTCTTGTTTTGAGTATATTCCGCTGGAAGCTAGTGATCCGGGTGTCAAGTATCTCCAGGTGATCGTTGTCAGTGGTTTGAGCATCTGAGGTTGAAGGTGGCGAACATGTACCTCGAGTGAGAATTCTACCCAGGTGTCTTCAATGCGGTAGAGTGTTGGTAATTCTCGGCTGCATTCCCTTTGTGTTCCATACTTAGTGAGTATTCTTGATTTAGGCGTGAGGAATAATGATAAGTTTCGTACTGTTATTAGTAATTCAGTGTAACATTCTCCGTTTCTGCGCACTATGGTCTCCACTAGGATGCACTTGATGATGTGAATGGCCTCTCCAGCGGTGACTGCCATGTATCCGGGTCCTTTCATTAGTCGGTAAGCGAATTCGTCCGGCAACAGCGTTGCCAGTGACAACGTGTTGGTAATTATTTCTTTTTCTAGTCTGCATCGGTGTTGGATGACGTTGTGATAAAGGGAGATCATCTGAGTCCTGGCGTGTTTCTCCACGTAAACGAATTTAGAGTTGACGTAAGTAAATATGTCCAAGTTGTCGACAGGTATGTCACTTTTTGCTTTAGGTACGTTGGCCTTCGTTGTTTCGAGTATAAATAATCTGGGGTGTGCCGCCTGAGCCACCGACACCTGTTGCGATGTTGACGAAAAAAAACTTCTATCACATCCAAGACATCGTCGGACGCGGCTATGATGACCACCGCCATCACTACCACCACCACCACCACCACCACTAGCACCACCACCGTCATGGCCGCTGCTACCACCACCAACATCACTATCGCCACCACTGCAATTTCCACCAACAACAACAACAACAACAACACTACCACTACTACCATCACCACCGGCGCAACTGCCGAATTGGTTCTACCAACCCTCGACTTGCTCGCAACAGAAAACGGTGGCATGGTGAGAGTTGAAATGAGCCCCGGCGGCACCACAGGCACTATCGTCCAAACCGGCGAAACAGCACAGATTAATCTGTCGAGTGTCACGGTACCTGCAGCGGATCTACCTTGTTTAGACGATACAGCGAGTGTTCCATCAACGACAACCGCGACAACTGCGAACCCGGAAACCACGTCCGGTAGCGACGGTACCGAAACGCCGTCCATCACCACAGCATTGTCAATTATGGTAACGGCGTCGATGCCTACCGTTACCATGTCGACAGTAGTAACAGGAACGGCGACTGAAGTTCACAACAAGACCACCACGGCGGAGGAGAAGATATCGGAGGAGAGGAAAGTGGCGACGGACGAGGCGTCCAATCTGGTAACTATAGCCGAACACGGCGTCGTCTATCAAGTTGCAGGACAGGCTGAAGACGGACAGACGCTTTTGGTGACGCGAGGCGCTGACGACGAGCAACAATGCGTGTACGTTACTACCGAGCAGCAAGAGGATGACGGCTCGGTCTTGACGTTGGATCACGCTGTGGCCGAGGCTGTGGCGTAATTGATCCCGGACAAGTAAATCTCACTCCTCAATTTTATGTGAAAGAGGACGGGGCGAAACCAGCGGAAAATTCAATGGTGATGTCTATAATGGATAACGCAACCGATGTTAGTGCCGGTACCGGTCAAGAAGACAACGACGGACAGGCCCAAGTTGTGGCCCAAGTGGTACAAGCCGAAGAACCCACTCCAGGTATGAAAACTGTCTTCTTCTCTCTACCCGTCCTTCCCTTTCTCCACTCACCCGAGAGATTCTGAGAGAGTGAACGTGTGCGCGCGCGCCAATGTTTCTGGCATCGACGCGACGGCATGTGTGACTCTCTGTGCTCATCCACTTAATCCACCCGGTGTTTGTTGACTTTCAGGTGGGACCACAAGAGTGGTACTACTCTTGCCGGATGGAAATTTTATGATGACCGAGGTAGACGAGGAGCAATATGCTGCACTGGAGCTTGACAAATGAAGCGATTACACGTAAAGTTCTTTCGCGGCAAAGTGATTACACGTTATTCTTTTGCATATCGAGCAAAACGTCCGACCGGTAGCGTCGTGCGAGAGTTACACGAGTCACGCGCAAATTGTACGCTTGTGTGTGATCGTGAATTGTACATATGTAAGAACGTTAACCTCGTGC